CCAATAAGCTGCAGATCTTGGCCAAATCACCTGTTTTTGGCCTCAGTTTCCTTGCCTTTGTTTCTAGCAGTTGGATCTACCATTAATGATTGAGCACTTACCATGGTCCGAGCATCATTTTCTTAGCACTCACATCAGCCTTACCAAGAAGTTATTTTCTCCAGTTTCCACATGAGGAAACTGAGGCTTAGAAAAGTTGAAATGACTAACCTAAGATCCAGCAGCAGATAACAGAGCCAGGATGTGAACCCAGGCTGGCATGATTTCTGAGCCACAGCCTTTCCCTAGGGCACTACATCCACTTACTTTTACTTGAAACCTGTTCCCTTCCAACTTGGAGGAGCAGATGATCAGTTTAAAATATGGATACTTGAGAGTTTTAGAGTGAAGTATATTGCTGTTTGGTGTAGTATTTTGTACTACATAATATGGAAATATTAAAAAATTATTATTTGATTACCTTTTCAGATAATATAGAAGTTGCATATTTAAAGACACTTACTAAGGAGGATATCATCAAATTCTACAAGGTAAGTTGTATTTATTCACTTATTTAGATTTGGACTGATACAGAAATATGTGCTATGTTGTATGTGGCTGCTTTCGACCCATTCATATTGGATCTGTAGAGGTGTTTTGTGGACTTAAGTAATTTGGGGGCTTAATTTGACCTATTACTGTTAGAAAAAATAGAGACAATTCATATTAAGACTCAGGTATAAGACGCGTGTTTGCCGCCAGCATGTTCAGTTGTCCAGAGTGGTCTATTAGGTCTGCTAATCTCAGTCATCTTAGGGTTTCCTTTTTGCCTGGAGCAGCAACAGGAGTGTGTGAGAGGCCTCTGAATGCAGACCTATGGCTCACCTGTGCCGCACCAGCTGGTAGCTGTGTGACCTTAGCCAAGTTACTATCTCAGTTTTCTTATCTACAAAACAGAGATTAGACTATTGTTGGAATGAGGTGTATACAGTGATTAGCATTTAGCTTTTAATAGTCTCCAAGGTTTTGATTCTTTAAATCAGAATGTGCTTTCCTCCTTGATATATCAGGTTTTTGTACCTAAAATAAATTTTGATTGTGTTTACTTACCACTGAAAACCATTTCACCTTGTGAGGATAGTGATGGTGTCTGTGTGTTTGTGTGTGTGTGTGTGTGTGTGTGTGTGTGTGTGTGTTTGTTTTTTGAATACTGAGGACTGAACCCAGGACCTTCACACTGACCTATATCCCTAGCCCTTTTCTTTCTTTTGAGACTGGGCCTTGCTAAATTGCTTAGGCTGGGCTGGAATTTGGAATCTTCCTGCTTCAGCCTCCTGAGTGCTAGATTAGAGGTGTGTACCACCACACCCACCTAGATGTTTGTTCTTAATTGGCTACAAAAGAGTGGTCAGTTCAGCGCTTTCTAGCTTTTGAGATATGCATTTTAAGGCATTATTATTATTTGCTATAGTTTTTCAAAAAAAGACAATGTTTTAATGCAACTTACAACCATGGGAAGGCTTTTTTTCTTTCCATAAATATGTTATGTGTTAAAAATTACAAGTAAGGGGCTGGGGATTTGGCTCAGTGGTGCCGCCACCTGCCTCGAAAGTGTAAGGTCCTGAGTTTGATCCCTGGTACCAAAAAAAAACCTTACAAGTAATTGCCAGGTGTGCTGGGCAGGATGGCACATGCCTGTAATCCTAGCACTCTTGAGAGATGAAGCAGGAGGATTGC